AAAGAATGTTAAACGGCCTATTGGACTTTGCGATAAGATGTTGTACAGAGTCCAGTAAGGGTTTTTTTTTCTAAAATTGCCATTGGCTCCTATATATCTACTCTATTAAAATAGAGACATTCTTTTTATCTATTGATACAAGTTGTTATTTAAATTTGACAATTTCTAGAGTGTTACAAATAATATAAGTCATTAAACCAACACAATTAATGTAACATAGCGACCTTAATGTAATCTATCTTCAAAATACGGCAGATATCTATGTGTATACCAAAACACATATTTTCTCCAACAAATATGGAATGTTCTAAAAGAATATATATCATCAAAATATGAAATATGAAAATCTACTAATTATATTAAATTAAAATATGGAATTTGAAAATCTACTAATTATATTAATGTGAAAATCGTAATATACCATTTAGCATCTTAACAATTCCTTAAAATATGGAAATTTAATAATTATAGGAAACCAATGGAAATCTACTCTATTAAAATATAGTCTTTCTTTTTATCTATTGATACAAATTGCCATCTAAATTTGGACTCTTTCTAGAGTGTTACAAATAATATAAGACATATAGTTAATTGAACCGCATTACTTAAATTAAACCGATGGTTATTTATGGGATATAGTCTTGGGCTTACTTTTGTTTTTAGGACAAATTATATGGTTTGATTTTTAGGCTTACTATTAAGGAAAAACTCCAAAAAACATTGAATAAAATTTATATCTTAATGGATCAAAAAATCAATTATTATTTTCAGACCCAAATGTATTTAATATTTTTAACAAAACAAAATTGTCTATTATTAATCATTTATTTAAATCATGTATTTTAGAACATGTTATTGTATTTTTTATTTTAAATAACAATCACCTTTTTTTGATAAATTTCAATGGTAACTTTTAAATAATTTATTGTTTTGTTTTTCTTAAATTATTTACTAATTTTAAAAAATAAATGTAAAGCAAGACAAAAAACTAAATCTAAAAAATAAAATCCAAAACCAAAAGCTGAAAACGCAGGTTATAGTTTTTGCTTTTGTTATTTACAAAATAAACTATTGCAAATTTTTTAAAAAATTTATTTGTCATCTTTTCAGTTTTAAATTAGATGTTCGATTATTTGAGATTTGTTTGGTTGTAATATCAGTTCAAACTAACTCAGCGGATCTAAAAATTAAAAACCCAAACAAAAGTTGAAAATCAATAATAGAAACTTAAAAACTAAAAACCAAAATCTAAAAAGAAAAACGGAAACTAAAAACTAATGAAAAACAATCGTCACCACAAATTTTGGTAAACTGATTTATACCAAAACATTCTTTAAATTAAGACAAAACCCAGTTATATAAATTTTAGTTATATAAATTTTAGTTATAAAAAATTTCTGCGCTTTTCAAGCGCGGATCAAAATCTAGTTTATCTTAAATCTTTTTCAGTTGAGCTTTAGTAAACAAAAGGCCCATGTGACGAATCTTCCAGCTTTTTTTTTGTTGTCTTCTTTCTTTCTATCTTCTTTTTACGTATGAAGAATTCATGATGATGATTGCTCTATTTGTTTGTTAGTGATTTAATGTAAGTTAGACATATACAAAATTATGTCACCCTTACTATTTATATTAGATGAATACAAAGCAGGTGGTTTGGTAATGTGAAAGTGGGAGTTGTTAGATCAGAGCTGGAGATATATTACAGAGATTCTCTACCATTTGCAAATAATCAAATCTCTACATAACAAAAGAGGAGACGAAGAGTTGCGCCGAAGGAAGAATGATTGAAAAGATAGCCACCGACTCCTGCCTATTTTATTATAACTGTTCATTTAATCCAACACTATTAAAAGAGCAATAAGAAGCTCTCATAGATATGCCACCTAAAGAAAAATAATCAGCCAATAATATTATAACAATTTTTCACGTCATTTTGTTTAGTTTGCTCAGCTAGAGATCCGGTTTAGTTTTGATTCATTTTTCTAATTTAGTTTCAGTTCGTTTTTCTAATTTGATTACTGGTTTATTATGGAGGCGGAGAAAACTGCATCTTTCTTATGCTTCTCTTACCTTTCGACTTCCTGATCTTTCTTTATTCTTCTTTTCTATTTCTAGGATTAATTTCACCATTATCTTCTCTAATCAGTCTTCCGTTTGATTCATTCAAGAACTCATTCAATGGATTCATTTCATCTTCCTTTCCATTTCTGTATTTATAGATCTTTTTCCTTAGTTTACGTCTCAATCACGTTTTCAATCCTTTCAGCTTCCTTCTCCCAGCATAAGCATTATCGAACACACAAATAAATATCTTATATCTAAATAGTAACAATTGATATCAGATTTTGATGCTACCTACCTTAAAATATATATTGTTTTGTTATAATAAAATAAGAAAAATTACGTACAAAAGAAACTATATATTTGACAAAATAAAAGAAAGTATATATCAAACAAAATTAAATTCTATTGTATATAATTTACAGAAAAAATGATAAATAAATTGTAAAAAGTATTATAAAAATAGTGAAACAAATGTCAGATATAACTAAAAACAATTTTTTTTAACATTACATCGAAGTGGTTTTACGGGTAAATAAGTATATGTTTAAGAGTATTGTGAACACAAAATATAAGGTTAGTTTATTTAATTAAATGTGATTTTTTTACAAAATACTAAAACAAAAATCTCGAGCATAATTTAATACAAAGATGAAAATAAAATATATATACTTGTATGGTCCAACAAAAGACAATGTAAAATAACCTGATAAAAAATAAATAACAAAATAAAATTAGATAACTTATACTAAAACAAACAAATTAAAATATCTATATTAACAAAATAAAAATGGACACAGTTTCATTAATAATTTCAACAATCTTATAAGAGAATTTAGTCATATGATGAAACTGATTTCTTGTCTTTTACAGCAAACAAATTCAACAAAAAATAATAATTTATTTTTTTAAAATTACGAAAATAACATTCCATATATTAGTAGAATAAAACCATTTAAACTAAAAACAAATGATTAATCATATGATGATATATTCATTGCCTTGGCGGCAATTCTCTTCATACACATTTGCATTTAATGAGATATACAAACTTAGACATTTAACAGACAATTACTCATTCCCCTATTTCCTCACATTTCATACTATAATATGCCTTTCTCGCCTACAATAGCACATTATATGATTTTCCCTTCATAACATTACAAGAAATATCAATCCGAAAACTACAACAACACATATATTTATCAACATCCCCGCGCTTGCGCGGAGCTACGCAGATAATATTTATAATGATTGGGTATTAGATCTAAAGAAACCAAATATTATAGAACATAAAGAATATTCACAAATATTTTTTTATTACTATTTCAATCAGTTATTTAAATACATAAGTTGGTAACAAAATATAGACTATTATGCAAGTTGAATCAAAAAAGTTTAACCCATGAAGGGTTATATACTAGATTATCATTTCCTTTTAAACAAAAAAAAATGATTTTCTAAAGTTCAAATGACTATCTTTTCTTAAATGTATAATTATGGTGGTCACACAAATTTTTATGTCTTTGTTATAAAGTTATATTTTGATCTATTCATGTATACAATTTGGTTCATATTGCATAGTCTTTGGAAACTCGATAAAAAAAATTAAGATGGATTATTATTTTTAAATGGTTAAAAAATAAATAACAACTTCAGTTAATATGGTTTAGACATAAGTTCATAATAAAAATATGTCTACTAAAATGATTTTGTTTTTTGTTATTAAAAGCGATGCTATGCGACAAGAAGTGTTTTAAAAACCGGAACAAGCTGGTTGGATCATGACTCTCTCTCTTCTAAATAATTTTGAGTTGTGCTAAAAACTAACAAATTCGGTTTAAAAACCGGTTACTCGCTGAAACCGATGGTCCAATTTGATATTAAACCCTGATTTTTTTAAAATTCAAGTTAAAAAATGTAAATGTTTAATAAACTTTCATAAAAACCTGTATTGTTTTTAATATTTATTTAAATAAATTATTTTTCATTATATTTTATATTATTTTCATGTTTTCATTTTATTTCCATAACATTTTAACTTCAAACAATGATAAAAAAGTCTTATAAATATAATTTTATAGTTATACATATATATAGATACTTAACTTAAAATTAAATTAAATTTACAACCCAGTTGAACCGGTGTGACCATTGACCTAACTGCAATGTCAAGTTAATGTTTGGTTTGGTATTGAAAACATTGACGGCAAAGATAAATACATATCATCAAGTTTATAAATAAATAAAATAAATAAACATTACACATAACAACAAAATATACAGAATCTTAAATTTATATGATTTCATTTTAAACTTACAGAAAAGTCAATTCATTTTATATACTTAATTTTTAGATTTTGATAGTGGCTATTTTCTACCAACATTTTGAAGAAAGAAAACGACATTAAAATATTATGGTAATTATTATGTAAGTTATTTATACCAAAAATAAAATTAGGGTTCTGTTTAAAAAAAACTAGAAAATCTATATTTGTAAAACAAATGGTCATTATTAGTATTATTTATGAACCTATTACTTGTATTAACTACAAGAATTTTGTCAATTGTTATTTTTCTATTTAATTTAACACTCTATTTCTTCTATTTTTAATTATAAGTTTAATTATACAATATATTATATATATAAACATTATAATTAGAAATTTTGTTTAGAAAACTAGCCGCGCGTAGTGCGGCCAAAAGATCTAGTTAGTTTAATAATAGTAAAGAGTCATATTTGATGAGCAGCAGTAAATATCATTTGAGAATAGAAGATAAAATAACAAAGCAAGGTTGGTCAGGGCAGTTAATGGCAAGTTAGATATGTCGAAAGTTTTTTTCAATGATTCATTATTGTACCCTCGTCATCTCATTCTTTCAAGAAGTATAAATCAGAAATAATATACAGATATACATGAGAGCAAAAAGATATAAAAAGAGTTTTGTAAATCGAGAACGGATGCTAACTGCGTACGCGTGTCATCATGACATTGGTTAAGTCAGGTTTGAGTCAGTGTTATAAAAAGCTACACTACTCACCACCACCCATGCCTTTCTCTCTTGAAGTAGACTCTAAGCCATCGTCAGATCTCAGCCCTCCATTCCAAGCCATGGCCGAGAAGGCCAAGGAAAAGGTTTGTCTTCTCTTCTCTTTTCTTCTTATTTTGTTTGTCTTTCAGTAGACAGAGAAAGTTGTGTGTGTCTTTAGAATTTAAATCTTGTGGAGCTTTAATCTTGAGACTCTTCTTTTCTGCTCATTTCTTGTTTTGTTTATTATTATGTTTTCTATATCTGGGATGTGTTTTGTTTTGTATGAGTTTTAAAAAAAAAAAAAGGTGCGATCGCTTTAAAAAGGTAGACTTTGTGGAAGCTATTAGAAGAATCTTTCTCTTTCTTTCTTTTTTTGTGTCAGAGATGGAATGAGTTCCGAAGTATGGTGATCATAGTTTACCATGATTAAGTTGAAGTGATGTCTATATCCAAAAAAACAGGTAACTATGATGAAGTTGAAGGTGGATCTTGATTGTGCCAAGTGTTACAAGAAGGTCAAGAAGCTTCTTTGCAAATTCCCTCGTGAGTTCCTTCTATCTCTCTTTTTGAAAAAAAAATACAGAGTCTGGTGAACTATTATTTGTTTGGTATAATTCCATTGGTGAAGAATTGGACTGAGTGGATAATGATTTTTTGTGATTGGGAACAAGAGAAATCAGAGATCAAATATTTGATGAAAAGTCCAACATAGTCATCATCAAGGTAGTTTGCTGCAGCCCTGAGCGGATAATGGACAAACTCTGTTCTAAAGGTGGCGGCTCTATTAAGACCATCGAGATCATCGAACCACCAAAGCCGCAACCTCCTCCTCCCCAGAAGCCCAAAGATGCTCCCAAAGCTCCCGAAAAGCCTAAGGAGCTTGAGAAACCTAAAGAGCCCGAGAAGCCTAAGCAACCTGAGAAACCTAAAGAGCCCGAAAAGCCTAAGCAACCTGAAAAACCGAAAGAACCTGAAAAGCCTAAGCAACCCGAGAAGCCTAAAGAACCCGAGAAACCTGCTGCGCCCAAAGTTGCACCCGCATCTGCTCCAGCACCTGTACCTGCTCCAGCTCCCGCTCCGGCCCCGAAGCAGCCTGGACCGCCACCACAGATGGTGCCGGTAATGCCGCAGGGGCAGCCAGCATCCATGTGTTGTGGGCCCTACTATGGTGGTTACGGATGTGGGCCAATGTTCAACGGATATGGAATGCCGGCGCCTCAACCGTATGAGTGCTATGGCCGACCAGTCTACGATAGCTGGGGAGGAGGACCACCACCTAGTTACCGACAATGCCACCTCACCAGATGCGATTACTTCAGCGAAGAGAACCCACAAAGCTGCTCCATCATGTGATATGCCTCATCCCTTTTTCAGTCTGTTCAAATCCTTATTTTTATTCAAAACTTTCTTTTTTCTTATACAAATAACGAAAAGAATATATATAGAGATGTTTATGTATACTGTTGTGATAGTAAAAAGAATAAGGAAGGAAAGATCTTTGTATTTTGTATGGTGGCCATTTCCATTTGTTTGTCCATTTGAAGCTGTAACTGTAAACATTACAGAAAATTGTTCAATTTGCTTATATAAAAACCAATAATAGTATCTTCTTTCTGTGTTGTCTTGTGATTTAACACAGTTTACACATGAATTATTAATCATAGTTGTACCATATTCTTATGAAGCTATAACTATGATTATTGTGATGTCACTGGGGAGAAGAGGTAGATGAGAAACTTTTTTTTTTACCTCTTCTCCCCACCATTAATTGGCATCATAATGCTCGTGGATAAATACTCGATCATGAACATCTGATAAATTTTCTGTCCAATTGGTAAACATATGAAATCTTCATAACATAAGAGCCGTTTGTTATGATGATTCACTGACATTAAAAAAAAAGTATGGTCAGATAAATTTAACATTTAGACCAAAAATTGTTCATATATAAACCAAAAGGATGAATCCAAAAAAATAAAAATATATTTGATCTACGATCTGGAGGGATTGTATTAAAGGAAAAATCTTTTGTTATTTAAACATGAGTATTTGACAGCTTTTTTTAAAAAATGCAATATTTAGTTTATGATTTTAAAATATATTAGAAATTTAATACTATTTAGAATATTTCAATCAGTAACTTGTATAAGATTTTTATTTTATTTTAAAGCGATTTAGTGATTTTTATTAAGGTATAAAATTCTAAAACAGTAATTATTTCAACAAAATCATAAAAAATTTTAGTTCGTCAAATAATATAAATCAACAACATATTAAATCATTATAAATCTCAAAATACTTAATTGAATACAAATTTTAAGTAATATTATATTTTGTATGATGACCTAATTTATTTCTTATATATTATATATGATGTTTCTATATTTATGTTGTTGCTTCTTCTGGTTATGAGCAATATCTTACAAATCTGTGGATGTAGAGACTTCTTTTTCACTTGAAGTTTCTCATGTATCTATTTTATTAAAACAAAATTATTATAAAAATAATATTGTATTTAATGACATTATAGAAAATGTTACTAAAAATTTAAAACAAGCATAGAAAATGTTACTAAAAATTTTTAAAAGCATATGATTTCAATAAGAAGACTTTATTATATTAAATATGATAAAATAATATTTAATTCTTTCCAAAATAACTAAAAATATACTTTCATGTATATTGCATTCACTAGAAAAGTTCATATATATTTTTAATATATAATTAAAATAGCGCTTATAAAAATATTACATATAATAATTAAATTATTACATATAATAATAAATATATTAAAAAACTTAATATATAAAAACATATATTAAATATAAATGTAATTAATTATCTATACACACATAATAACTTTAATTTATTAAAAACTGTAGAAAAAGAAATAATTTTAATTTACAAAAAGCTTCTTAATCTTAAAATATTAAAATTCTATCACTATAAATTTAAATTACTGTATACTAAATCATATTTTTTTATTGTTATATGGTGTATCAAGTTACAGTTGATGTTTTATGATATTTTTTTTGTGGTTATATTAAATATATAAAATATATAAAGTACGAGACATGTTATCTTATTTCCATTGTAAAAAATATAAAAATAAACTCTAATTAGTATGAGATATAATAACTATATTTTAATGCTAAACTACAAAAAAATAAAACTAACCAATTGAGGATAAATTAAACAAATAGATTACTATAATATTTTTTTATATTTATATATTTCAATTTTATTATAGAAAATTGAAAACAATATAAATTATATATCTGAATTTATAATGTTGTGTAAGACATAAAATATTAGTATAAAAAAACATAATAAATATTAGACTTACAATGACTATAGTTTTACTTTGTAGTTCATGTTAGTTACTAATATAACTGTAAATATAATATATACAGTAATTTAAACATAAAATATATACAAAACTCTAAAATAATCTAAAAAAGTTATAATTTCTGTTGGATCAAAGTTTTATAAAAAAAATAATCTTGCACTTTTGAAAGCATGAATCATTAGCAAGTAAATCTATATGCATTAACATATGCATAATTGTATACTAAATTGTGTAACCAATATATATATATATATAGATATATATATATATATATAGGAAACTTTAGTAAAAATTAATATTTGTTTCACAATTTAAATACGAAGTCTTGTAGGTGATTAGTGCATTGAAAATTAAATTATGCCAAAAACAAATAAAAAAAACAAGATTGTAAAAATCAAAGTCAGTTACCATGTCTTAAATATCTTTTATTTTGTTTTTAAGGTCTCAAAGAGATTCAAGTTCACAGTGGAATAAGATCTGTGAAATATAAAATTGATTACTTTTCCCAATTGTATGGATCTGCAGTAATATCAGGTGACTTGTCATGTCCCCGATCCTGAGTATGATCGTCTGGACAGATCATGGTGCGAGGAGACGCGTCAGTCAGGTCACGAGACCTAAAGGCAAGCATACCATGGTCTAGGAACGTGGTTAAGGTCATCATGGCGCTGAGACTTAGCCAGATAAAGAAGGAAAAGGAGTTAAAGGAGCTACACAAGTAAAGAGGTAACTCAACAGGGAGTTGGGACAGCTCGCCCTAGCTCGGGGAAGCTTGGGTAAGCTCAGCCCAGCTCGGTCTAGCTGCACACTCACTGGTCAGCTCAAACCAGTTGAATCGTCATGCTCTCATTCCTGGAACTTGACATAAGGCTTAGACGTTTGATAGAAACGAGACAGCTTTGGTCAGATCATGAGAAATGATCGTGGCCAAGCTCGATTAAGTGAATGATCAGAATGGAGCAAAGAAATACTAAGTCTAGGTCTGTGAATAGACCAAAGGACTTAGAAAGATTGTACAAGATGAAGATATCAAGCTGTACGAAGTGTATCACAGCTGGGTGATGCGAGCAAGAAGCTCAACCAGCTGGACAGAGCTCAGTTGGAGCTCAAGTAGAGTGTGCCAGCTCCCTGAGCTGGACTACTAGCTCACTCAGCTGGACCAGCTAGGGATCAGCTCATCTTATCTGGACTGAGTGTTTGGGTTTTGGGCCGTTGGGTCAAGTATGGGCAGTTACTGGGCCGGTTGGTAGGCCAGGGCTGGCTATGGGCCGATGGGCTGTTGTGGTCGGGCCATGGGCTTGGTTAATAAGTTTGGGCTTGGGGGTTTGATGTGTCTAGAAGTGGATGGAAGTGCCTAGATGTGTCTGGAAACTTCCGAGATCCAACAGATGCGATCTGGACCGTTGATTGTAATCGATGGCCAAGATCTGGTCCGAAAAGATGCTTGGAAGAGATGTGTCCTTTTGGACATGGCCTTTGGTTTCCTATATATAGGAGAGCCGACCAGAGATCAGATCATTCAGTCTTAGACAATGGACACACGTCCTAAAGAGATCCCCCAATGATAAACGAGGATCCATAGGGATGCCACCAAAGGGTGACATCTAGGGATGCCACCAAAGGGTGCCATCTAGGAATGCCACCAAAGGGTGTCATCTAGGGATGCCACCATAGGGCGCCATCTGGGGATGCCACCAAAGGGTGCCATCAAGGGATGCCACAAAAGGATGCCATCAAGTGATGTCACCAAGAGGTGCAATCAAGGAGTGTCATCAAAGGGACGGATGATCTAGTTATTTGGAAGTAATAGACGGATTGATAAGGGACGTAATGCAAGATCTTTGTAAAGACGACCTGGACAAGGGAGGTAACATGAACCAGAGAGTGGCTTAGGTTGAAATAAACGTGCAGCACTCTACTGAGGTTAAGTGTTATACCTTGGTGGCCGTTCAAAACAAGTGAGCATACGTTATATATCTTAGTGTGATGTGGATTGAGGTATATTATAACCACTCTTTTGAATGGTATGGGACATTCATGGAAGTGTGACACTTTGGAGAATGGTATGGGACGTTTTCCAAATGTGTATCAAACCGAAATCCTTCTCAGCTAGGAGAGTGGACCAGTTTCGGTAGGCAATCGAGTCCAGTGAAGGACCAGGGTTGGCTTACTCGAACGAGTCCAAATGGGATCTAGTCAGGATGGACTAAGATCTTCTGGGTATTGATCATAGATAGGGTAATACCTGCGGATCTAATTTGTGTCCACCTCAAGAGTCATGAAGTGATCTTGGGCATGGTTTGGCTTGGAAAGAATATCGGGCCACCTTAAACTGTCATCGCGGAAAGGTGCAGTTTGAGGATGGATGTAGATCCCCGATCAGGTTCCAAGGTATAAAACCTGCCTCCTTTTGGGTAGTGGTTTCAGCAGTCCGAGCGGAACGGATGCTAGATAGAGTTTGTGAGGCTTATATAGCCACAATCACCACTAAGGAGATGGTTGAGGGGTGGTAACCCAGACGGGATTCCGCTGGTCAGTGAGTTTGATGATGTGTTCGGGCGCTGCAGGGCATTCCCCCTGACAGGGCGGACCCGTTCATAGTAGAACTGGAACCAGGGACGGCCCCAATGTCTAAAAGTCCATAAGCCGCATAGCTCCTGCCGAGATGGCCGAGCTAAGGACCAGGGTCGGTATACAATCGAGTCCGGAATGGGACCAGAGTTGTCTTACGCGATCGAGTCCAAGTAACAACCAATTCGGAGATTGACCTAGGGTTGGGATAAAGACGATCACATCCAGTGAGGGACAAGGATCGCATTACAACCAAGTCGGAGTTTGACCTATGGTTGGGGTGAGACGGTTGAGTCCCATAGTGGACCAGAACCGCAGTATGATCAAGTCCGATAGGGGACGAGGATCAGGACACGACCTACTCGGAGATGGACCTATGGTCGGAAAGCACGGTCGAGTCCTTGAGTGGACCAGGACCAGAATATGATCACGTCCTGAATGGATCAGGATTGAAATATGAGAGAGTCCAGTGATGGACCAAAGTTAAGTTGAGACGGTTTAGTCTAGTATGGATTAAGATCGCAATATGACCAAGTTGTGGTTTGTTGGAAAGACTACACGTTGGCATCACTTATACAAGGGATGATGGATCCTTGGATATGGCTGAGTAGCCAAGTAAGGATGCCATAAGGCAAAAAAAAAAAAAAAAAAAAACAGACGGACCACTTGATAAGATTTTGGTT